AAAAAAATTATTTTCGTCGTAGTAGCGAAAGCACTTATTACAATTGACAGGAATTTTGAGAGAGACATTTGTTTAAATTTGAAGATGCTTCAAGATAATTACGATATTGTTTGGTCCAATTTAATTTCCACCAGTGGATTTCACGATGTTATTAATAAATTTGACTTAAGAGACGACAATGCCACTAAAATTCAAGTAAGTCTACACAAAGGGAGAGTTAGGCCTATAGTATAGTGTTAGTATCATTATTTATTATTACATATATGAATGGGGTGGTATTCGTAGTTAACTAAGGTCTAACTAACTTGTCTAACTTTTTGATTTGCTTTTTTCATGATGTAACGACATCAGAACATTATCTATAAATGCATTAGTACGCAAGAAAATTTTCTAACATCATATATTAAAGTATAATGGATAAGAATAATTAAACTTGGGATACTTATAATAATACTGATTATAATTTATATTACTCAACATTTTGGGACTAATAATACAAATTCTACTAGGCCTACAGCAAAAGGCTTCCACTTTTTCTTTTCTGAAGCATTGTTTTTCCGAAATGTTGAGTCACTATTGTCACTTGGTTGTTTCACTTGAGTGTTTATTTCGTCGCTTACCTTCTCATACTATCTCTTCTCTCTCCTTTTTTTAAAATCTAGGGCTCTTCATTTACTTTTAAGATATGATTAGGTTCAGCTTGTTTATTAATATTATTACTAATTACGATTTAATTAGGGCTAGTGTTAAGCTCTTTAGCATAAATGTTGATTTATATTTTGTTAGTACTCAGAATCTGGAATTATATCACAACTTTTTACCACATATCACAAGAACTTAAAACTCGAATGCCTATTATTTTGAAAATATTGAGCAGCTCAATTCCAGCATGAAAATAACGAGTCGGACTTGAAGAGCAGAAGAAAAACTAACAGATTCGCATTCAGAGATCTCCCGGTCTTACAATCCAGGGTCCGATTCCTCGCGGTGAACAAAACAGATAGCCAAATGTGGCTTTGCTCTGAAACAAACAAACAAACGTATGTAGAGTTATTTTTCGCTGTTGGCGTTGCCTAAAAATTTGAAGTTCTGCACATTTTGCAATAAGATCGATCAATCATACTGATTACTCTTTTTAGCCCCATACAATGGGTTTCGCGTTCTTCACGCATCTCTAAACTCCCCTTTTTTATGAGGGCTCAACTTTGAAATCTTCGCTGAGGATACCACCCTCAGATCCATTGTGTGTAGGATTATTTATTTTCTGTCAATGCACCCGCTAAATTTTCCTTTATTTGCATAAACAAAGGAGTAATTCATGGCCTGATGTAATGCCAATAAAAAAACGAAAAATTGAATACAGATATTCACGATTGACTGTGTCTTCAAACTTAACAAACCTTAATACAAGAAACAAGCATTGAACTTTATCACTCTGTCACGCCTCCCCCCCCCCCAGTAGCACAGCGGTATGTCTGCGAACTTACAACGCTAGAATCCGGGTTTCGATACCCGTGGTGGGCAGAGCACAGATAGCCCATTGTGTAGCTTTGTGCTTAATTAGAAACAAACAAACTGTCACGCCACGTGGCAAGAAAAGTAATTTTTTTCACTGTTAGTTTTTAGCCGCAGCATATCGGCTCATAGAATGGCTTTGAATTTTTCAAGTACAAACTTTTAGCTCATAGCTCTGCCATCTCTAGACCGATTTGAGATCTAATTACAGTTTTGGACTCGAGAGGTCAAACCCGTTCGATTAATGTATTTGACCATGCCCAAGGTCTCATAGATTAATTTACTCTAATCCTGCCTAAAAAAAATAATTCAATTTGTGGGTAATAAAATGATGATTAATAAAATCGAATCTTGTATACACGCGTCTCACACTTGGTATTTCTGGCGCAAAAATATAGCTAATAGAAAGGAAAAAAAAAAAGTCTCATATATTGATTTACTCTTATCCTACTTAAAATAATTTCGTTAAAGAAGTTAGTTGAATTACACTCAAAGCTACACGAGGGCTATTTGCGCCAGACATCCCTAATTTTGAAATGATAGAGGGAAGACAGTTGGCCAACACTATCCACTGCCTACTCTTGTCAGATCAAATAGTGCCGTTTAACCATCGCTCTTATAACGCACCCACAGCCCTAAAGTGCGGAGTGCAAATATTTTTGTTATAACGGGACGCGAAACACGGTATTTCAGATCCATAGAATCTGGTATGTCCTGGCGGTTAGGGTGCTTGATTCGCAATAAGCGGGTGGCGATATTGAAACCCTTCCTCGAACATGCTCGCCTTTTCAACCGTGGGGACGTTGTAATGTGACAGTCAATCCTTTTATTCGTTGGTAAAAGAATAACCCAAGAGATGGCGGTGGGTAGTGTTGACTAGCTACCTTTCCTCTAGTTTATCACTTCAACATTAGGGACGGCTAGCGCAGATAGCGATGCAGTAGCTTTGCACGAAATTCAATAAACAAAGATGCATAATTGGGTGTCGTAACCAAGTGAGTGTGCCAACCTTTTTATTAAGAAACTACATTGATTTTATGAGTCATTGTAGTGGTTCATAACAAGGATCACTCATTTGTTCTTCTTTATTATCATTTAATTGTTCCACCAGCCTACAGCAAAAATGGCTCTAAGTATTGTAATAAAATCTGGGCATCATTGCGCTTTCTGTAGAGTAATGTTTAAGTATATTTGACTACCTAGCAAATAACAGCGATTGTATAACCGTTGACACCCAATCGTTTTAATGTATTCGGTGGTTTATATGGAGCCTCATAATCTAGTACATGCATACGTACACAGCTGCGTGCAGGCCGTGGATGGAATTTAATGTACATATGGCAGGCATGACACATGTACCATAGCAGTTATTAATTTATTGTTGCAACTGCATTGATGTAGGGCAGTGGTTCCCAACCTGGGGTCCACGTAAATAATACCATCTCATTAAACAAATAAGTTTTTTTAATACTGATGTTTTTTTAATTGCACACTCAGTTATACATGTCTTTTATTTGATAGTGAAAAGTGGGAGAACGAGTTAATTATAGATACTGCAGGTAAAGTAGCCATTTTTGAAGCTGACTATGAGTAGTGGCAAGAATCGTGCAAGCAGAAGATGGCGAAAATTATGGCGATTCCAGGCGAAAGTGGGGCAGAAAATTTGTAGTTATGTATTTTATTTGGAAAATATTCAGTTTCAGATAAAGTATGCAGTAGCGACGGCCCAGTGGAAGAGGGTCGTTGAAGTGTCACAACCCAAACTTCATCAGAAATGAACGTGGGAAAGTATATTAATATAATCAATTCATAATTGTTAATTAACACGTTTTCGACCGTGTAGAGTGTGTAGAATGTTACTCTACGAGGAAATCTGTCCAGCTACAGCAAAACCGTGACCGGCCTTACTATGGCCAGCGGAGAAGGAGAAATATAACAACCATCAGAAATATTATAAATGCTTATTTGTAAACATATGCTATTATATTACGACACATTGTCAAATATTTGCATTGAATATATATTTATATGTATGCATCTATAAAACTCATGCGACCACAAAATTAAGTCCATGCACCATTCCAGTATAGTTCAGCAGTCTCTACAATCCAGTGTTTGCAGACTCCCTATATAGTTACAGGGTATAAATATAGTAGAGAGATATATATATATATGTCTAAATGCTGTAATCATAGAGTCGGGAGACTCTATATGTATGGATGGCCAATATATTTAGTAGGAATAATACGAATATCCACAGTAAAAAAAATTAACAATGACAGGCAAGAAACCATCGCTAAGATACCACACCAGAAAGTGACCAACCCACCAAGCTGTTCATCTTTCTTCTTCTTGTTTCAGTCGAGATAATTCAACAATTACTTTATCACTAAGGTCAGTTTAAACCTAAATCAACTCTATGTGATTCTGGGTAATGTTCGATGTCATCGCCTAGTCGTAATAACTAGTAATAATTTAAAAAGAATCATAATTTTAGTGTAAACGATTTTATCATTACCCCTTGAAGTTAATCTTTTCACAGAAATCTGGTGTTCCTTTAAAAAGTTTAAGTACAGGGTGAAACTGGAACATAAGATAACTATAACATGTAGAATACTCAATGCTTTATACATTATACAATCGGTGTCTTTAGGGAGCCAAACCCTATACTATGTATGAAGTGAAGAAATAAAAAAAATCAATAAACATGATATTAAATTTTATTACACACATTCAAAGAATACACTAACGTTCAGTCAGGGGAAAAACATCACAAAACAAGTAATAAAAAAAAATATTTTGTAAGTGTAAAATGATGTGGGGATGGCAGTGCCAAAATAATGCAAACAAGAATATAGGGATAATACAGCTATACATAGATCATCCCTACATGGCTTTCAATGTTAAAATATAATGTTATACTGTAAAATTCTTACTCGACTTTAATATTACTGCAGTTAAAAGCTATATTCCTGACTGTCGGTATGTAGTTTGTTTATCATAATATCATGGTCATGTCAGGGTAGGCATAAATGTGTTGTAACTAAGAGCCTAGGACTTACTTACAAGGAAAACCAATTTGAGGCAAAACATGTCTTGATTATTACAGACTCTCGCAACAAGATGGGTCGAATTGTCCGACCTCGTAACCATTTTGTACTCGTGCATTACGTTAGATAAGCCAAACCAAATATATATTGTTGCGTATCTGTTTTTTGTTAATTTCCGGTAGAAATTATCTCCGAGGAACTTCAGCGATACAAGTCCTTTCTGGTTTAAACCAATTTATTCTTTCTTGATACAAACTTTTAGTACAACGTAATTTCACAATCACTACGTTTCTCGTCACTATAAATTAACTACTTTTATAATACACGCTATAAATCACAGCGATTCACAATTTCAATAACAAAACACACACTAGCTCGAAACAGAATCGTAAATTACCTGGAACTCTCTTTATTCAGTCCCGCAGGTTTTCTCTGCCAGGCTTATATACTAAAAAAGAGGGCGTCCTGAACAAACTCGGTCTTTCCCGATAATTCATGATCATTCAATAAACTTATCGCGTGTTATCAGCGTCACGTGACTTCCGCTGTCGTAACACTGCCCCTTCCTTAGTATTGTTCATCCCGAACAATAGCCACTTACATTAAACCAATAGATAATTAACAATAACT